AGCCGAGCACTTGACTTCTGGGTCACCAGGACAACCACTAAACTACCAGTATGCCTCTTGAGTACTCAGAGCCCCTATGTGTACTCGAATACCGTAGCTCTGAAATGCCCTGACTAGCGTTGCAATTGCTCTGGGGTGTTGGGGCTCTCGGTCTTGAGAACTGTAGAGTGGAAAGTACAGACCACAAAAGGGCCAGTAGAGAACAGAGCTTATTTGGAAAGGGGAAAAAAAGTACCTGGTGACGCAGGTGGGGACTCCATTGAGTTGCTGCTGAATGAACTGTGTCCAGGCGTTTTTATCAGGTGTGAGGTACTTGGTCTTCATCCTTAGGTTCTGAACAGACCAATCTGAGGTCTGGGTCCAATCATGAACTGGGTCCTGCTCTCCCATGGTCGGGGCTGGCTTACCTGGGCTTGCACAAGGGAAGTAAGCATGCAAAGGTGAGCAAAGAGTCTTTGGCCTGCTGATGACCTTGGGGTTTAGAATCAGCCTGGGGATCTCATGCCTGTAGGTTTAAGATTAGATTGTCCCAGGCTGAGATCACCCTTCCAGATATCCTGCCACTCCCAAAGCTTCTGGACACCTTGCCTCTACCTCCCTCCGCCTGAGGGCTCTGTATCTCCTCTCTCTCCTTGGAAACTCAAGGGCCTCAACTCGTCCACAGTAGGCTTGCTGTGACTTATGGTGGCCTCAATATGACAGTGGGTAGGCAGCCTCTAAACTGGGTCTTTGTATTGTTACTGTAGAACAGAGTCCTCTTTTTACAGGGCAGGACGGGCTTTTATAGGGCTTGACAGGGTTTTAATTTGGGATGCTCAGAGCTTGTCTTCTACCAATATTCCATGGTGGTGCAATAGTTAAGTGCTCAAGCTACTGCTTCTAATAGATAGGTTGATGATTGTAAGCTGCTCAGCAGCTCTGTGGGGGAAGGGACCTGAAGCTCTCCTTTCCTAAGATCACAGCCTGGAAAACCCATGGGGCAGTGCCATTCTCTGACACAGAGTCAGAGTTGCCTCCCAAGGCACAGGGCAGCAACAGTGATGCCAAAGAGTACCATTCAAGTTCTTGTTGGCAGTACACGTGTAGGTGCTTAATAATTGGACTTCCCGTTCCCGTCCACCTTCTAACCCCCTGGCCCTCGCCACTCACAGCTGTATCTTTCCTAGGTTAAAAAAAATCTGGATTTTCATAATCCCTGGATAGGAAGGAATTTTCTTGTAAACTCTGGAAGAGCTCAGACCAATCCGGCCTGGTTTGCCCTGGTTGGAGGCGGGGCAAGTGGGGATTTTCCTGAAGACAAAGCTCCTTAGAGGAAGACCGCAAAAGCGAGGACAACACCTTGTTGAGAAGTCACTTGGGAGACTGATTTCCATTGGCTGGCAATAAAGCCGGAAATGACTAGTAGAGCAATCTTTTTAACAGTACGTCTCTTGTGGGCGTCCTAATGGTGTAGTGGTTATGGGTTGGGTTGGTAACCTCAAGGTCAAGTTTGAAACCACCAGCCATTCCATGGGAGAAAGAAGAGGCGTTCTATTCCGTAAAGAGTTCCAGTCATGGAAGCCCACGGGCATTTCTGCCCTCTTTTCTTTCATGCCTACCCTATCTTGCAGGGTTACGCTGAGTCAGAATTGACTTCATGACAGTGAGTTTCCCCCGTTTTTCCCTTGAATGTGTACTTCAGTGGGTGTACTTGAGGAGCCCTGTGGGACAGTGCTGATGCATCGGGCTGCTAGCCATAAGGCCGGCTGTTCAAAACCCCCAGCCACTCGGGGAGAAAGAGGAAGCTTTCCACTCCTGTGAAGAGAGAGTCGCAGTCTTGGAAACCAGGGGCAGCGGTTCTCAACCTGTGGGTTGCTACCCCTTTGGGGGTCCAACGACCCTTTCACAGGGGTGCCCTAACACCATTGGAAAACAAATATTTCCTCTATCCATCTCAAGGTGGGTCCACCCACATGCAGACACGCCCACATGCGAGTACCCTGCGTGAAGACCGTTACCCATGCTACACCACGCTTCAAGACAAAATTTCATTTATTTTTAATTAGAACTAAATATCTCATAATATATAAGTACATACTGTTTTTGTGATGAATCACTATCCTTTATGTTCAATTTGTAACAATGAAAATTCATCCTACATATCAGATATTTACATTATGATTCATAACACTAGCAAAATGACAGTACTGAAGTAGCAACGAAAATAATGTTATGGTTGGCGGTCACCACAACATGAGCAACTGTATGAAAGGGTCACGGCACCAGGAAGGCTGAGAGCCACTGCCCTAAAGGATCACGTTGAGTCAGAACTGACACACTGACAGTGTTACTCATGTAAACACTGTATTTCAGTAGTTATCCCAGGAGATCCCTGGTGGCAGAGCGGTCCTGCGTGCAAGGTCTAGCTGTTTGAAGCCACCAGAAGCTCAGTGGGAAACAGATGGGTTTTTTAGATAGTTGTTTGGGAAAGGAAGAGGTAAAGTAATAAGAAGGAATTAAACGCAACCTGCTGCTTATCTAATGGCTGGCCATGCCTCTAGAATTATGTGAGGGCTGTTAGGGGGTAGTGGATTCAGATGATTGAGGTAGGGAGCCTGGGCGGCGTAGTGGACTTTTCATTGAGCTAGTAACTCCCAAGAGATTGAGAGTCACTGATGTGCAAGGCCAGAAAACGCAGACACAGACTAACAACCAGTTCCTGTTGGGTCTGTTCCTCCTCACAAGGATCCCGTGTGTGACAGAAGAGGGCCGGGCTTGCTAGGGTTTTCCATGGCTGACTTTTTGGGCAGTCGATTGGCAGAACTTCTGAGGTAACTTCCAACCTTTGGTCCACAGCGGAGCTTGCTATCATTTCACTGCACAGGGACGCCACGGGCGAAGGCTGAAGCGCTGAAGCTGCGCTGAGTGTGGTTCAGAGGTGTGAACTAAGAGGATCGGTATCAGGGGGAGGAGTGTAGTACACCGATGTTTTCACCCAGTGAGCTAGGATTTAATAGAGGAGAATATTTAAAAATTACACACAATATATAGCACTTTATGAATCGGTAATGCTGTAGTAAGTCAGAGAATGGAAGGACCAGTGTCTTAATTTCTGTTTTTTGCCCCTTAATTATTGATTAAAAAAAAAAGAGTTTGTAGAGATAATCTAGTAAGTATGAAGGCATAAATGGGGTTCTCCCCTGTGAGGCTAAGTGGGGTGCTTGTTGGTGTGGATGGGACTGATTCACCCCAGCCTTGCTTCTGTGTGGACTGTTTACCTCCCATAAACAGTGAAAACAGCTACCCACTGTCAGCTTCTTGCATGTGCCACCCAATCCAGTTGGATAATGGACTCTTTTCCTAGCAGCTTTGTTTGCATGGGATTTAGAGCACGTGTGTATACACACATAATGTACATGCGGACATGCATACAGTTTACCTAGACAGGGAGTATAAGAGCAGGTACCGAGGCATGGCAATGAAATGACTACATACGTCTTGCTCCCTCCCTCTCGGCTGTAACTGCAGCTGAGCCTTCCTGCTCTTGTGTGACAGTGTGTCCCAACCCTGCTTGCACCTTGAAATCACTTGGAGAGCTTTTAAAAATACCTGCCAGTGAACCAGGCTCTCCCCAGGCAAAATGAGTCCGAATCGGAGTCGAGCCAGACATTTAAAAATCCTCCCCATGCGGTTCTGTTGCACACACACCATTGACCTAATGCTTTGAACAAAGTAGGTATAAACAGTTTCAGAGATCAAAATAGGTGACCAACCACCTCAATTTGCCTGGAACTGTCCCTATTTTCGGAGCCTTGTGGCACTTTGGGTTAGGCATTGGACTGCCGACTTCCAAGTCAGTCATTGTCACCTAGCAATCCCTCTGAGGGCAAAAGATGCGTAAAGATTTTCAGCTTTTAAAACCCTCCCTGTCAAGGGCCTGGTGAGTCAGATTTTACTCAGTGGCAATGTGGGGGTCCCTGTTGTAGTGCTGAAAATCCCACAACCCAGGCAAGTCCTGCTGAGACGCCAGACACCAGGCATGCGTTCTGTTGTGGAGGTAGAGCATTTCCTGTGGTGTGCACGCCTGATTCCAATTTAATGGGGAGTGCGGGAGTGGCTTCAGTTGTCTAGTAGCAGTTTTTAAGTATGCTAAATAAAATTGTTGAAACGTGTATGGAGAGGTTGTTTCCTCCCTTATTGTTTCCCTATCATTAAGCTGATGAACTGTACTAGGTGTTACAGAGCGCCGTTTTCGTAGTGGGGTATGTTGGGGAGCTGGTAACTGTAAGGTGAGCACTTTGAATCTTTCAGCAGTCCCCTGGGAGAAAGATGACCCGCTCTGCTTCCATAAACACTTCCAGCCTCAGAAGCCCCGGCCGTACAGGGTTGTCGAGTGGGATCCACCTGATGGCAGTAGGGTTTGGGTACTAGGTGTAATGCTTCTAAATTCAGACAGGTCCCAAAGGTAGGTGTTTAAGTTTTAGGAACATCTGATTGACATACATTTTTTTCATGTCAAATATGGTATTTGAATGTGTTGCTTTGTTAGACATGCACTGACTCATAGGCTTATATATTGGTATTTAGGGTGCCATTAAATACACTTCGGAGATTTCTATTGAATAGTGGCTATAAAAATTACCTTCTCTTAGGTGTTTCATTGCCGTAGAATCCCTTCTGAAATCCACACTCCATCATCATTTTTCCACAGTAATTAGAATAATGCTTTTACTAATGGTTATTCACATCCTTTTGTTCAACTTGAGACCACTATTTGAAACCTGTTGGTTTAATTATGTGCAGTCTGCCAGTTTTTGAAAAGTACTGTAGAATTCCAAGGATATGCGTAAATCCTCAAAAAGAACATCTAAAATCCTTTGGACTGTAGAAGGTAGAGCATTCCCTTGTTTCTTTTGATGTTGGGAGTGTCCTTTGGCCCTGAGACACACTGGGAACTCCCTCCGTCTTGAGTCCGGAGTAGGAATGTGATCTCTGATACGTGCACTCTGTCTCTTCTACAGACCTATGGAAGCCTCGGGTGCATTGGGAATGTTCGCCTGTTGGCCGAGCTCTCCAGCCCGTTTGTGAACCAGCGGTAGGTGACTGATGTTCATTATTGATTTATTTTTAAAATCATTTTATTGGGGGCTCGTACAATTCTTATCACCATCCATCCATCCATCCATCCATCCATCCATCCATCCATCCATCCATCCATTGTGTCATGCACATTTGTACATTTGTTGCTATCATCGTTCTCAAAATATTTGCTTTCTACTTGAGCCCTTAAGATCAGCTCCTCATTTTTCCCCTTCCCTCCCCACTCACCCCTCCCTCATGAACTCTTGATAATTTATGAATTATTATTATTGTATCATGTCTTACACTGTCCGTCTCCCTTCACCCACTTTTCTGTTGTCCGTCCCCCAGGGAGGAGGTTATATGTAGATCCTTGTAATCAGGTCCCCCATGATGTTCATTATTTTAAGGTGGTGTAGTTGATTTTTATTTGGGGGAAAGCCTTTTTTCGTGGCCTTAAGAGTTATTCAATAAAAAAGTAAACACACACAATACAAATTACTATGCAGTTGTACAAAAGAGTAAACACGAGGCGTGGCAAGTGTGGGGCAGCTTTTCTGCAGCATGGCAGTGCCTTACTACCCTTCTGGGCCATTTGCACAATCCCATAATTTCAGCTGCCGCATGAACTGTGTCTCCTGAATCTTGGGATTCAGTGAGGTTCTTCAAAGAAAAAGGACTTTTAACCGACTTCCATTCATTTGGGGGTCATTCACATGTCTACAACCAACTTCCTCCTAACCCAAGTTTGCGATATCAACGTACTCCTGGCGCCTCGCTTTTTAAAGATAGACTCTTTATTTTAGATCTGTAGGCAAATTGTGCTCCTTTCTGAGTTCTCCTAACGAACACTGGTGCCACAGTGGTTAAAGCACTCACTTAAAACTTCCATCTGGGAGAAAGGTGTGGCAGCCTGCGTCCAGAAGAATGACGCGCTTGGGAATCCTATGTGGCAGCTCTCCTTTGTCGGATCTGGAGGGTGACAATATCAGATTGAAAAATGGAGTACCATGTCATTGCATAACTGCCAAATCACGTCATTAAACAACTGCCAAACCGCTGAGCATCCTGGCCCAGCTGCGTTGACACAGAATCATATCCATGAACAGCCAGCCTCCCTCGCACCTCAGCGTTTGTTACCACCAGGTGTTTTTCCCCAATGCCCTGAAATAGTTACTTAGTAGGTTTTTTTGACTCTTGTCGTCTATGCAAAATGTTGAAGGAGATCTTCAATAAGTTGTAGGAGGACCAATTTTCCCCACAAACTTTTAGGTGCTTCCTTGTATTTCTAACATCTTACATGATGGCGGTAGACTTGTCCAAACCAACCAGCATGAATACGTTACTATTCACGAAATCCCAGACGTGACTGGACCCCATCCCTTTTTCACCAGTGTCCTTCCTCTTTCGGTCCCAGCTTCTAATCCAGATGCCACATTCCATTTAGTTGGTGTCTTTACGGTCTCCTCTCAGTTGAGATGTTTTCTTAGTCTTTCCGTATTTTCCTTGCCCTTGTCAGCATTTAGGGGTACTGGCCAGACCCCGTGCAGCATATCCCCTAATTTTCTGGGAGGGCGGGGGGGGTGGTGGTGGCTGATTTCGATGGAGGTTTGGGGTTCTTGGGAAGCATAGCAGGAAGGATAAGTACTTCCTTGCCCTGTCCTGTCAAGGGACAGCCCCCTCCCGCCCCTCCCCCGGCATCTCTGCTGCTGTTAACCCATACCCCAGGCTTCTCCTCAGCCAGGGTCCCCCCTTTCCATATCACATTGGAAAGCAAGTCATGAAGTCTGGCCTTCTCCCAAGGGAGGAGATGAAACTCTGCCTCGGGGCGGGAGGAAGCTGCTCAGTTTTTGGACAATGGGTTTATTGTTCATCTTTATTGCCCTGATCTTGTTGTTTCAATCACATCTGCTGCTTTCCCCTCCTTTCCTCCTGCGCTGTTTAACTGTAGCGGTTGGTTTCTTTCTCTCCCTATCTACTGATGGTGGGCTGTGGCGGTGGGCTGTGGCCCTACTTCAGGGCTCAGCATCTCCCTGGTTTGGTCACTGCAGGACCTTTGACTCCCTTCCCTAACTCCAGATTGGCTTCATGCTGTGTGTTTGTCACAATGCTGTCAGAATAGCGTTCACCTTGTTCTACCGTCAACACGTTATTGTTGTTTACAAACACACAGACTAGATTCTACTTAGACCTCTGACTGTTGACGTTTTCTGTGATGTGCACCCCCCCCCCCCCCCCCGTGTGTCCTGTTTTACTTTGAGTGGGGTTGATCATCTTACTCTCCCAGGCACCATGGCTTGCTCTTACTTTCCTTCTGGATTCGTAGCCTCCATTTCCCTTCCGTCTTGAAAAATGCACTTGTCCTGCTGCGTTCAGCTCCAAACCCCAAGCCAAGGTGTCTTCGTGAGTGCAGCGGTGACAGGAAGACCCTCTGTAGGGGATGCGAACAACAGACCTTTGTGTTCTCACAGTTTCAGAGGCCCAGAGTCTAAAACCAGGGTCTAAGCGGGCTCCATCCTTCATTCCCGGTGGCCCTGGACCTTCCTTGGTTCTTGGTGCTCCTCCAATGGCATTTGCCTTCCCCATGGCCTCACACACTCTTGTTATAACAGAGAGATGATTAGGTTTAGGACACACTTTACGCTGATGTGACCCCATTAACATAACAGAGACAACAATTCACAAATGAGATCATACCAGGATTAGGATTCCAGCACGTATTTTGTGGGGGGCACAATACTTTTCTTTTTTTTTTTTAAATCAATTTATTGGGGCTCGTACAATTCATCACAATACATAGATCAATTGTGTAAAGCACATCTATACATTTGTTGCCCTCATTATTCCCAAAATTCGCTTTCCTCTTGGGTTCCCCGGAATCAGCTCATTTTCTTTTTTTCTCCTCCCCTTCCCTTCCTCCCCCCCTCTCCCCCATGCACCCTTGATAATTTATAAATTATTATTGTATCTTATATTACACTGTCCGGCGTGGGGAGCCCTGGTGGCGTGGTTGAATACAGATTGGGTTGCTAACCTCAAGGTGAGTAATTCAAACCCACCAGTTGCTCTGCTGGTTAAAAATGAAGCTTTCTACTTCTATAAAGATTTAGAGTCTCAGAAACACACAGGGCAGTTCTACCCTGTCCTACAGGGTCACTGAGAGTCAGAATCGACTCACAGGCAGTGAGAGAAGGGTTTATAGGGGGAGCCTTTCATGCTTCCGTGCAGGGAGAACGTGGAGGACTGGGCGTGTCCATTAAACTTGCGGGAGTTAGCCTGCTCAGCATTACTAATGTTTTAAAAGACACAGGTAATCGTGGAGCCCAGGCAAAGAGCCTCAGCATCATCCTCATGGCTCCTTGGGTCCCTTTTGGAGCTGGGCGCCTTCTGGAACTTGATGGATTGCCTAGGTGTTCAGTTCACATCTCTGACATAGAAGGAGGGATTTTGGTTTTAAAGCATCTCCATTTCATACTCAGATAGTTATATACCGTATATACTTGAGTATAAGCTGACCCGAATATCACCCGGGCACCTTGTTTTACCACAAAAACTGCATTAAAAATGTGCTGTAAAACTTGGTTATACACAAGTATATACGGTAGTTCTGCTTTGTATATTCCAGGTTTGTTTAACTTAAGCAATCCTGGGTGTTTTCTAGTAGAAGCATGCCATAGATGGAGACCCTCCTGCTGTAAATAACTTTAGTCTCTATGTCAGAAAATCTGTTAGTAGTACACCTGCCAGGAGATTAGCCTGAATCACTTGTCTTGTGGGGGGTGGGAGGGGTCATCTTTCAAATAGGGTGCCCCCTCCCAGGCTCCTTTCTGGGTCTTGCCTGCTCAAGGTCTCAAGCTATTACCTATTTGCTGATGTTGGTGTAATGGACTATGCATGAGTTTTGGAATCAAATCAATACAAGTTAGAGTTCATCTTTGCTATTTCCAATGGCCCTGGGCAAGACACTCAATGATCCTGTACCACACTTACTTTCTTTCTTAAAAAAAAAATTGTAAAAGCATATTCATGTTATTTGCCATTCAGTTGATTTGACTCAGCAACCCTACAGCACAAAGTAGACCGGCCCCACAGGTTTCCAAGACTGTAATCATTATGAAACCCAACCTTCATATCTGTCTCTCACTGAGCAGCTGGTGAGTTTAAACCTTGGACCTTTTGGTGCTACATCATCTCCCTGTTTGCATTATGCAGGAGAAATAGGAAGCTTTCTATTCGCGTGAAGAATTAGTCTCAAAAATCCATGGGGCAGCTCTCCCCTTTCCTACAGGGCCACTGTTAGTTGGAATAGATTAGCCCGTCATGGATTTTCTCATGTCAGGTGACACGCCAGATTTGACATTCTAAAATAGGGTGCCAAAGAGCTGCGATGGCACGGTGGTTACGTGCTCAGCTGCTCACAGGGAGCTTGGCAGTTCACAGCTGTTCGTTCTTCAAGGAGAGAAAGAGAAAGCACCCCTCTGCTTCTGTGGCCCCTGGGCAACCTCGGGCAGGTGTCCTTTGTGCTACAGGGTCTCGATGGGTCAGAATTGACTGGATGACAGAAGGTGTGGCCTTTGGTTTTTAAAATAAAATACAGCCTGCTTCCCTCTGAATCCCCTTTAGTATTGCCTTGGTCAGTGTGCGAATCACTCATCCGCTCGCTTACCCCTGCTTGAGCTGTCACTCACCTTGACTGTTCCTGCCTCACCTGTCGTTAGCCCATCCTATGATATACCTTCTGAGTGCTGCTTTCTGCCTCTGTCACCTCCGAGGCATCTCTGCTGTCCATGCCCTGGTCTTACCGCCCTTTCCCTGGTCTTATAGCTCTAGCCTCTCACCCAGTACCATCCAATATGAAGCTATGTATGTTGAAATCAAATCAGATGCACAGGTCAGAGCCTCCATCTCACTCACAGCCTTGCAGGTGCTCTGCAGCCCCAGGTGGCTATGGCATGGAAGAGGACGTCCACAGCACATCTTCTTCGTAGCAGAATGCACTGCTGAACAGTGCCGCCC